CGAGCCGTGTGCCCGGCCTCCCTCCGAGCCGTGGGCCCGGCCTCCCTCCGCCCTGCGGCCTGCTCGCCGCCCTGGGCGTGAGGCTCGAGGCGGAGTCTCCGTGGGTCCGGTCTAGACACAGAGGTCGGTCCTGGCCCGAGGCTGCTCAGCGTCCCGGCCTCGTCCCGATGCGGGCCTGCTCTGGTGTAGGGCTCAGTCACAGCCTGGATCCGGTCCCAGTCCAGGGCTCAGTCCCAGTCTGGGTCTTGGCATGGCCTGCATCCAGCTGTGTCGGGCACGGTGGGTTTGCCCCCATGATGTTGCTGGGCCACCTCTCCCCGAGGAGAGACCAGAGAGCAGCCTCACACAGTCCCTGGAAGGGAGCAGCAGGTTTCCCACAGGCCCATGAGTGTGGCTGGTAGCTCATTCGCTGCCCCTCCATGCCCTCAAAGCAGCCCAGCCTGGAGTGCGCTGGCACTGTCCTGCCCAGCAGCCCGCAGCCCTGCTCACACTGCTCTGGGCACCATGGGCTGTTCTAAAAGGTGCTTGCAGTAGAGCATGGATGCTGGCTCCTGGGGATGCTCTGAGAATCCTAGGCTTCGTCTGATGCCAAAAGTTGTAACCTTGTTATAACCCTATGGTGGCTCTTGGACAATGAGGGCACAATGATGCTGCCAGCTGCCTGCAGCCTCTGATGAACAGGGCGTGTGTCCCATGGGCAGAAGGCTGGGGACCCAGTGACACCCCAGCTGCAGGTCCCGGTCCAAGACTCAGCTCTGTCCCAAGAGTGCATCCCAGAGCTGCAGCCAGTCCTGGGAGAAGCTGGCAGCCCTCCATTGGCCCCTGACCCACCAAAGGCCAGTCAGTGTGTACATGTCTGCCCAGTAATGCCCTGGCCCTGGCACAGAGGGCCCTTTCAGCATGGAGTGACGAGGCCCTTAGGAATGCAACTACATCCTGTCCTCAGTACATCCCATAGCCACAGAGCTCTGGGGACTTGGCCTCCCTCTGCTCTGTCTGGACCCCCACATGAGCATCAGGCTGTGCCCTGTCTGGACAGGCAGTAGGGCCAGGGATAGCCCCTGTCCCCAAGGTCAGAGGCTTAAGCCTCTCTAGTAGGAACAGTGCCTCAGCATCAGGGAGCCTGCCTGTGACCCCAGAGCACCTCAGGACTTTGTGACCATGGCCAGAGGCTCCAAGCAGAGAGGGCCCAGGGTGCAGGGCTACAGAGCTGGATGTGATCTCAGCTCAGACCTCGTACCCAGCAGGTTCCAGCCCCAGCACAAAGCCCCAGACACCCAGTGAGTGCCAACATTGCTTTATTTGTGGCACCTGAAAGGAGGCTGTAGGGGGATGGAGCTGATGTGACAGACAGGGCTGCAGAAAGCCAGGGGAAGGCACTTGTGGTGGCAGAAGCACCGAGGACATTTTGGCACAAGGGCTGCACCAGAGTAAGGCAGAGGCAGGCGGTGTCAGGGACCAGCCTTGACACAGTGCACAGACAGCACGTCCTACCCAGGGAAGGGGTACATGGCTTGGGGCTTGGCAGGGCCCCTGAGCATATGGGGTATCCACTGGGACAGTACATCATGATGGAAGTGGTGATCCAGTACCAATCCCAGACATCACTAATCATAGTGTGATTCCCCCCCAGGGGAATCATGGCTGCTGCTCTCCACCTCAAAAAAGGCTCCAGGCAACCCCAGGCAACAGGCAGCTGTGGCCAGCTGCTGAGGACACACATCTCACTGATCTGAGTCTACACAGAGACCGGAGCAGACCCTCCCTTGCACTGCAAGCAATAGAGAGGACCTGCCTCCAGGCAGGGTGAGGAGGTCTTGTGGCAGTACAGTCCCAGTGTGGTGCTGCTGCTCTAAAAATTCTGTCTGGCCACCAATTTCTCTAGTCAGCTCTACATGGCCTCATCAGGGCTTGGGACCTGGTGGGTTGTGGAGGCTAATCCAGGGCTGGGCTGGTTCCAGTGCCAGTGTCCTCTTCTGTTCTCCAAGATGGGTTGTGCTCCCACAATGCCTGGTCGCAGTTCCCCTATGGACAGTGCCAGCACAGCCTAGCACTGCCATGCTGCAAGGTTCACCCTTCCCCTCCACCTCACCACAGTCTCCAGGCACTGCCCAGTCCCAGAGAGTCCAGAGATGAAAATTTTCCAGGATGATAAACCAAGTGCAGCAGAGACAGGGAGGGCTGTAGGCTGGTCTCCATCAGTGAGGCTGTTTCCATCCCTTTTGGAGTAGCCTGGCCACAGGGCTGGTTCAGTGGCTCTGGGTGGCTAGGAGCCACAAACCTCTCTGCAGGGATGGCAGGAGGAGAGAACAACCCCATGACTGGCTCCCCTCAACCCCTGGGGCACCTGGCCCCATCCCAGGACTATACAAATTCTAGCACTGGAGGAATTTAGCCCAGGGTTTACGGTTCCACTTGTCCTTCCCCTCCCTCCACAGCAACAGAGGCCTGCTCAGTCTCCAAACTGGACTGGGGTGATGCTGCTCTGGCCATGCAGTATCTGGGTGTCTCCACACCCTCTGAGTGAAGGGCAGGGAGGCACTGAGCCCTTTGGGGCTCCAATAAGATGAAAGATGTTTTCAGGCCAGGCAGAAGGAAGGGCCCGGCTGGGGAAGCCAAGTTCAGGGCCTCCCCTAGGGAACTGTGGAGGCGCCATGCAGCTGGAATGTCGAGACAGGGCTGCCAGCAGGTCAGGGGAGTTTATGCCCATCCAACTCCACTAGGCATTGCTGCCCCCAGCTCAGCTCCCCTAGGCCAGTCCCCCTCCACCCCAGGGAAAACTTGGCACCCACCTGAGCATGCAGCGTCTGCAAGACCAGGGACAGGGGATTTTGGCTTGAGTTCTAGGAGGGGCTCACAAAGATTGGTATGCCTCTTGGGGGCTCTCCATTTGGGTCCTTCCACTTGCAGTAGCCTACATCTGTCCAAGGGTGGAAGAAGGGCCTGTGCAGTGGCTGGGTGTCCACGCTGTCTCAGTGCGCTGCAGGGGAAGCCGTGCTCGGCGAAGGCCTCTGTCTGTCCATCCGTCTGTGCAGGATTCTCTGGAGGAATTGCAGTGCAGTCAGCCAGGAGGGGATGGGTGGCAGGGTCATTTCATCCCAAAGACAGGCAGTGTTCTGTCTGCGGCTGAGAAGGGGAGCCAAGTGGCACAGGATCTCAGATGATGTCTCGCTGGTCCTGGCAACGCCGTGATAGGCAATAGAGCCCGGAGAAGAGGTACAGGCAGGCAGTGATGCCCCCACAGATGGAGGCGCTCAGGTAGGCACTGTAAAGGCAGTGCTGGCTGTAGCCCGGCAGGTTGCAAAAGCTTCTCTGCTTGGCCTTGTGACCCATAATGCCAGTGGCAGCTGCATAGAGCCCCAAACCCAGAGCCAGGTCGTGCACCAGGTTGGTGAGGAGCCAGCGGGAGCCCAGCCAGGGCACCAGCTCCCAGCGCCCCAGCAGGCTCAGCCCGAAGAGTGCCAGGGTGAGAAGCCAGACCAGGACGGCGGCAAACAGAGCGAAGTGGGCCGCCCCCTCGTACTTATGAGCCGCTA